ATCTCATGATAGAACAGGAAAAAAAAAACACCACAAGCTAATTAAATTTGGTCGTTTTCTTGTACTTATTCGGATAAGGATAAAAGTCAGTGATGTAATTTATATTTGAATTAGTTTTTATATAAAAATCAGTTTGATAAATACTCCCTCCGTCCCTCTTTATAAGCAATAACTACAATCACTTTTTTGTTCTTAAATATGAACAATATTTACAAGTTGTCTTAAATTTTTATAACAAATTTTCTAGTTTATCTCTATTAATTACTTATTCTAATACCTAATATATTTATTATCTCATTTTTCAAACTATCATCTCTCTCCATTCACATTCTCTCTTTTTTATAATTTTTTTTATTATAATAGTTTTTTATTCTCTTTCTTACTCCTTTGGTTCTAAATATAAGACTCATTTTATAGTGCAATTTACACTACAAAATGGGTATTATATTTATGACCAAAGGAATATAATCTTTCTCGATCTCCCTAATAAATAAGGATATTTTGGATAAATAACTTTTAATTTTTTTACTCATTTATTGTCTTTAACTTATTTTTTGATATACTTATTTATAATTTACTTTCAACATGTTTCACATGGACTAAGAAAAACCTTAAAATTTATTAATTTTCATTTAAAATTTAGCAACTTTTTAACTTTATCCCTATTTAATATACATCATATCGCAATAAACAAAATCAACGCAATAATAAATGAAGGGTAAAATTGTACCTTTATATAAAAAATTTCTTTTAGTGTCCTATAAATACGACCGAAAAATGTCTTTTCTACTTTATAAATAGAACCAAAAGAGTACATAATAGATTCAAGGTTGCTTATATAAGAGATTGAGGGAGTAATATGTGTATTTGGATGATTAGTTAACATGGTTATAAAATGGCCAAAGACGAATATTTGGGATCAGAATTCAGACCGGTTCAGACTGAAAACCGGTGAACTGACCACTTATCCGGTCTGGTTCGTCACTTAAACAGAAAAAATTTTGAACCAATACGAACCGTCCTAACCCAGTATGAACCAGGCATAAACCGGACAACTCGTTCGGTTTGGGGAACTAACCCGGTGGATTAAAAAAATAAACAAGAAACTGAGAGAGAAGAAGAAGAAGAAAGAAATGTCACCGTCTTCTTCTGGCCCTACAAGTTCACCTTTTTTCATCCTTTGAAGCTACAAGTCAGTTGATCTCAATCTATTCACTTTTTTCTGACCTTCCAAGCGTCTCTGAAACAAAGGCAAGAAGCTCTGGACTATGACGGTATGAAAATGATGAAGGAAAAAAGGGAAATCCAAAATAAAAAAGAAAGGGAAAAGGAACAGAGAAAGAAGAAAGAGAAGGAAAGAAAACAATTGAGATACGAGAGATAGTGATGTGATTTGAATTAATGTTCAGACATAGCAAATCGTGAGAAGCCTTGGAAATAATAAAAAAGAGGAGAAAAAAATAAAATTTAAAATAGATTAAAGTAATGTTAATCATATCAGTTTGCCCAGATAAAAACCTTTAAGGCATCAACTAACTAATTTAAATAAATTAAAAAAATTAGTTATATTAATTATTTATAATAAATAAATATTATTTTTTTAAAGTATTTTTTACTAATAAAGTATAGTATCTATAACTATTATTATTATAAGGATTATTTTGAAATAAATAAATAAATACACGAGACAAAACATGTTATCAGGTTTTTATATTTAGAATTAAAATAGAAGTCAAACTAGTTCTTATATTAAGGATCAGAAGTAGTATTATTTCTGAAAAACATATATTAATTTATATTTATAAAGTGTTTTTTTAATCATTAACTACTTTTTAATGAAACTTTCTGTTATAATTAATATGAAGATTTTGAGGAAAACAATTGATCAATTGGGGAAAATAAAGTGCTAGATCAAAATAAATCTGGGAGGGAATAATATTATTTTACACCAGAAAAATCTACACAATGAAAATTCACCCTTATCAATTTATCTCCGCATTTGACCAGACGATAAATGCACATGCTGCTGTGACGTGTTCCTCGAGTTCGCAAAAAGTAATGGTAGCAATGCAAAAGAAAATATATATAAAGTTAATTTGAAATGGTTTATAAATAATTTTTTAATTTGATTTATAAAATATAAAATAAGTAATTTTATATCTTTTGCATGCTAAAAGTTTTTAATTATGATTTACAGAATATAAAATACTACTCCCTCCGCTCTTTTTTATAATCAATAGTTATCATCCTTCTCTTGTTTCTAAATATGCTCATCTAATTCTAAATATAAAATTAATTTTATAAGATAAATTATATTATAAAACGAATTGTATATTTAGAACAAAAAGAATATAAGATTAATTTGAAATGGTTTATAAACAACTTTTTAATTTAACTTACAAAACATGAAATATGTAATTTTATCTCTTTTGCACATCGGAGCTTCTTAATTATGATTTATAAAATATAAATTATATATATAAAAAAGTTTATCTCAGTTTATGCACAATATTTTTATAAATGATTTTCGATTGCATGCGGATTCTCTGTGCTTATTTCACTGTTGTTTCACTGCTTTCGGTGTCACGCGCAATCCGTATCTGCCGACACTTAGAGCTGTATCTGCACAATTTTCCATTACGTACTCTGTTCCGTATTTATTGCTCACACCATCTTTGTTTATTGATTTGCTTTTTGAGTTTCACCTCACTCAAACAAGAATTCTTTTTTTGGTTGCTGAAACTGAAAGAAAAAAAACAAAAAGAAATCAAACAAGGGTTTAGACTCCTCCCGAGGTTTGTCACTTGTCTTACCGCTAAAGCCTACAAGGGCTTTATTTTGACTCAAAAGGCATAATAAGACTTTCATTTTTTTGGACAAATAGCTGAGGACTTTCATTGTAAATGTAATGCCAAAATATTATTATATATTACTCTTTCGGTTCTAAATATAATAATTATCTTATAGTATAATTTATTTTTTTATAGTATAAATTACACTATAAAATGGATCTTATGTTTAGAATCGGAGTAGTAGTACTATTTTTTGAAGAGGATAATTATTTGTCCAATTTTATATTTCTCAAAAGCGAGAACACATGCCAGAACTCAAGAAAAGGAGTAGAAACGCAAATTAGAAAGGTATACTTATTTGGATTAGGATAAAAGTCAGTAATATAACTTATATTTAGATTATTTTTTATATAAAAAAATCAGTTTGATAAATAATATGTTTATTTGCATTGGTTTATTTGCTTTCCTGTATTTGCACGCATCTGTCCTTATTCAATAATTTAATTTGCTCTGCACGTGATGTGCGTCCGGGTTAATTTCTTTTTCACCCGCTCATAATAGCACAGCAAAATTCCAACTTCCTAGGACCCCGTTTCTTTGAAATGCACGGCCCTGTTTGTTTAAATTAACTATTAATTGTGTAAAACATAGATTAATTCATATTTTTGAAGTGGTTTTAATCATTAACTACTTTTTAATTAAATTTTTTTGCAATAATCAATATGAAGATTTTGAGGAAAAACATTTATAAATTTGGAAAAACAAGGTGTTAAATCAAAATAAATCTGGGAGGGAGTAATATTATTTTACGCCAGAAAAATCTACACAAAGAAAATTTATCCTTATAAATTTATCTCCACATTAATTCACCCCTGCTGCAACGTGTTCCACGAGTTCTGTGATTGCTTGCGCCTTTCATTTGCAATAATCTAAATCATTGGGAGTTGAGCCCTTTAGATTCTATAAAGTCATGTGATGGCTCAACCATCAAACCCATTTGTTAAAGTGATACTCTTTTTAAGATTTATTTTGTAATATAATTTATCTTATAACATAAGTTTTTTATTTAGACTTATTTTGTAATATAATTTATATTATAAAATAAGTTTTTTATTCAAGACAAAAGGAGTATAAAATAATTATCAAAGCAAACGATCCTATTTTAAGAAATTTACCACACTAGAGGCGAAGTTTACTGCACTTAAAGCGAGTCCATCATTTCACGTCAGCAAATCACAACACTTTTTATCAATACCACACTTAGGGCTGTTCATATGATATGCCATGTACGTTTCAGGGAATTTACTAGGCCATCATAGGCAAAATTTTCTCTCTCTTTGTTTTTTTTTTATTTTACCAAGTAGGCAAAATTTACTACACTTTTAATGAAATTGTAAAAAAGTTGTTTAAAGGGAGAATTGCACTGAAGAACCGCAGAACGCAATTAATGTCAAAAAGCCCCTAAAACTTTTTGAAACCTCACTGCAGGACCAATGGACCAAATTGAAATTAAAATTTAGAGTGAGATTACAATAATACCCCTCTCTTTTTATTTTATTAAAAAATAAATATTTACCAGAGTTATTGTTCCAGCCACCGGTGCTTAGGTGGCCGCCGTCGGGGGTCCGGCCGGAACCAGCCTCCGGTGGCTGGAATTTTTTTTGTTTAAAACAAAGTGGCTAAGGGAAGGTTTGAACTCATGACCCCTTAGCACACTAAAAGGTTTGCAACCAACAAGCCAAGCAACCTTTTGAGTAATATAAGTAATTAAATATGGTAAAATAAAAAATTAATAAACAAAATTTGAGACAACTTCTAAATGCCTCTTATAAAAACATGACATACTTCATAATTATTTCTTATAATAAAAAACAGGGGAGTAATGTTTCTCAAGAAAACTATTAACAAGAACACGTTTTCGAAATTGACAAATCTTCAAAGTTGCATTTAATTGGGAATCGTTAAAAAAATTTTGAATAGATAACGCCATATTAAATTTGGTGCATCTTTACTTTTTCAATGGCGTGCAGAGATAATGAAGCAGACCAAATTAAAGAAATAGTGGAACGTGTTAAAAAAGAGTTGCGCAAGCAGTATCCAAGTGAAGATAATGGAGAAGACTTGATTGGAAATGAAGAGAGAATGAAAGATGTAGAATCGTTGCTGGACAAGGGGTCCAACGACGTCCGAATTATACGTATTTGAGGGATGGGCGGTTTGGGCAAAACAACTCTTGCAAGAGCATTGTATAACAAGCGGCATTCTGAATACGACGGGTCTGTCTTTGTGGAAAGAGTGGGAGAAAAGTCAAAGAATCGTGGAACAGAGTATGTGAAGAAAGAACTTATTTCGGCATTATTAGGGGATAAAAATCCTCACACTAGCTCTTATGACATGATGAGACTAGGACGGAAAGAAGTTTTCACTGTTTTTGATGATGTTGATAATTATGATCAAGTGAACAATTTGGTTGGAAGGCGCGATTGGTTTAAACCAGGGAGTAAAATCTTAATAACTACTAGAGATACACTAGTCCTTGGTACTAAAGTAAATCGTGATGATATATATGAGCTAAAGGGTTTAGCTTCTAATGAGGCGTTTCAACTTTTCTCTTCACATGCCTTTGGAAAAGACTGCCCTATCCCTGACCCAAATCGAGAAAGGTTGGCAAAGAAAGTGACTAGGTATGCAAATGGAAATCCATTGGCCCTGAAAGTTTTAGGTTCCTCCTTGTCTGATGAGAGAGATCAAAATGTTTGGGAAAGCCGATTGGAAAAACTTCAAAAATTACCTGATCCACAAACCAACGAAGTCCTAAAAATAAGTCTTGAAGGACTTGATGATGGGAAGAGAGGGAGAGAGAGAGTTTCTTGGATATCACATGTCTTTTAACTATTGATTATGATGTTAACGGTGATAATGATTTTAAGGGATGTCTTTCAATTGAGGATGTTGAGGCCGTAAGAGATTTGTTAAAAACCCGACGTGGTTATTCAATCTATTCTGAGTTGAAAAGACTTAGAGAGACAGCTCTTTTAGAAGTTGATGAATTTGGGAGAATATCAATGCACGATCTACTGAGAGAAATGGGTCGACAGGTTGTTCGTGATGAGTCACCAAAGCATCTTAGAAAGCGCAGTCGATTGTGGGATCCTAAGGAAATATATGAAATATTGAGGGGAAAAGCGGTAAGAGTAAAATTTCTTCATATTTTCTATATAAAATTTTTTTTGAATTCAGTATTCCTATTTAATTTACATAATATTTTTATATTTTTATTACTAAAATTATTTTTTCCATTTGTTAGAGAAGTAAAGCCATTGAAGGTGTAAGACTGAACCTTCGAGAAGTTAGAGAGATGCGCTCAAGTCCTGGAGCCTTTAGCTCAATGCCCAACCTAAAGATTCTTAATTTTTATTTTTTCCTCAATTGCGATGGGGTTGAAATCGCTGTAGAAATTCCTGATGGTATAGATTTTTTGCCAGAAGGACTCATAAAATTCCGTTGGATGGGATACCCTTTAAAATCCTTGCCAGCATCATTCAAGGCCGAAAATCTTGTTCAATTTGAAATGCCCTACAGCAGTTTGACAAGACTTTGAGATGGGATGCAGGTGAATTTTATATTTTTTTTCTTAGGAAATGTTGTTAGTACATCAGTTGGAAAAATCTTTATTAAGTACTTTCTCCTCGGTCCTGTTTATAAAGGTCCAGATCAAATCTCTTACAAAATTCAATGAAATGTTGATAACCCATTCTATAACAATGGCTTCGTCTTTCACGGTCACACTAAGTTTCATGACCTTTACTTATAAAGATTACTCGTTGACAATAGCCAGTTTCAACTAATTTTCTCAGCAAAACAGGTAGCGAAACCTTATAAAAAGAAATAGATGAGTAATTTAATTTAGTTTTGGCCACCAATCTTATCATGTAATTTATGTTTTTACATAATCTTCCGAACTTAACCAAAATCACGCTTGCGGGATCAGAAGACTTGATTGAACTCCCAGATTTTTCCAAGGCCACGCGTCTTGAACATGTTGATCTCAATGGGTATTCAAAATTACGTAGTGTTCATCTATCTATTTTATCTCCCCACGGCCTGTGTGGTTTATGGCTAATCGATTGCAACTCCCTTACCAGCCTTACAAGCGATACCCATCTCCGATCTCTCACTCGGCTCTATGCATGTGGTTGCTCAAGTCTGGAGGGATTTTCAGTGACCTCAGAAAAGGAAGAGTTCGATTTAGACCTTTCAGGAACAGCCATCAGTGGCAAGTTGTGCTCGTCAGTTTAGTGTCGCAGCAAAATTCGTTCATTGTCTCTAGAAAATTGCAGAAATGTGACAAGTGTTCACAAATTGATCCAGCTGCGTGACCTTCGACGTCTTGAAGCTGGAGGGTGTAATGAGCTAGCATCACGTCTCCTGTCCAAGTGTGATAAGATGCGTGCTTTGGGAGTTCTATGGCTTCCGCATTGCAATGAATTATCTAAACTTCCTAATGACATCAGGTTGCTGTCATCATTACGTGAGTTAAATCTCTCACGGACTCGTGTACAGACCTTGCCTTCACGCATCAAACATCTTTCACGCCTGCAACGTCTTCAACTGGATGGATGTAAAAGGCTTGATTCTCTATCGGACCTCCCTCCCTCTATCCTGGAATTGTATGCCGCTAACTGCATATCCCTTAAGACTATACAATATTTACCTTTGACGAACGAAGGTGAAGAAGGAAAAGATAAGGCATGTCTTTGTATTCACAAATTGCAAGAAGCTGAATCGACGGGCAATCAAAGCTGCGAGGCAAGAGCGCTAGTTGAGATAAATAAAGCCATTTATGGCTTTGCTAGATTGGAATATCCAAGGGTAAGACTTCCAAAGTGGTTCAAGTTTAAGAGTAATGAAGAGGATCCCATGACTGTGAATCTCAGTTCGATTCCACGACCTTGGGATGGGAGATTCTTTTTTGGCGCCGTCGTTTCTGAAAAGGGGACAGACATTGAGGTCAGATGGTTTGTTGATGGTCAATATGCCTGCAGGGTTGAAGACAGCTCGTTTTTGGTGATTAAGCATACGTCGTCAGATCATGTTTGTGTTTGGTATCGTCTAGATTCATTACGACAACTAAAAAGGAAGATTGAAGAAAAGGAAAGAGATGCTCAAAGTAGGACTTATCGTCCATATGTTGATATTAAATTCAGACTCCGTAAGCTGTATGGCAGAATGATAGCAGAAGCACAGATCAAAGAGTGTGGGGTGTGCCCCATAGCTGAATGTCAAAATTACATTAAAAAAATTCAATCTAAAGAAAGGGCATTAAAGCTCTCAAGTTGAATGATGCGCCCGCCACTTCAACTTGATACATATATGGCTCCCATTCACTTCAAAAATGTATGGTACTGTGGTTTTAGTGGTAGTGGTAGATATGATTTCTGTTCCTAGTACCTCTTTTTGGTTTGTACCTACTGATTACAGCCTCCTTATGTTTGCAGTGGCATACATGCACTGGTTGTATTATCTTTCAACCAATGCACGTCGAGTTTGTTTTCAAGCGACCATCGTCTTCCTCCTCGTCATCAGTCAGCCGCTGACTTCGCCATCAACTACAAATCTACAATGGGGCTTGGTTGCCCCTTTCACAAAGAAGCTGTCTCAAGTTGGATGATCTGCCCACTTCTATTGGATCTTGAAGAATTTCAACAGCTGGATTGAACTGAGCGATTCCCTCCAATTCCTTGCCACCAAATGGGCCATAAGGTGATGATTTCTTACTTCAAATATTCCATAATTACAGAAAGTTAATTATGCATCAGATTAAGAAAGAAGAAAGAATTCTCGTATATATCAATTCATAAGTGTGAATTTCCCTCCTATATTTTGTCTCCATTTACCTTATTGCTGCTTCTTCTCTGATCATCAGAGAAATATATGGAGCTTGACCTTGAGGAAGCCATCGAAAGAGCTTGCAAATATAAGATCACGAAGTGCAGAGCACAAGAAGCTACAGGTTCACTAAGTGCAGGCAAGCTCTCCTGCATGCTTTCAATTTTGATCACTGAGAATAATACACGGATGATATCATTGAAATTGTTTTATTGTAAATGAAAGAGAAAAAGATAGATTAAAATATAGTAAGAAACTTAGATATTTATGTGTGATTTTATGAGATTAAAAAATAATAACAAGGAACCATTGCAAAACATCAAAGTTATAATATGATAGATGAAAATCTGCTTACCTTTAAAACCCGTGATCATATTTGTCGTTCCAATTGTGTACAAATACAAATCCAAGAAATGCAACGTTAGAGGCAACTCATGTGGAATAATATTTATTAACCTTTAAATATATGAAAATCCTTAAAAGAGAAATAGTGATAAGAATATTTATTTAATTTTTTATTCACTCTTTTATGGTAAAAGGAGTTGGATTTTATCATTGTTAGGTCCCTTTAGGATAAATGGCCTTTTGTTATACCAAGAGAAATTTATTGTTAAGAAATTAAATTAAACTCTAGACCTACGTCCAAATCATGAAATCCTGGGGTCTCAAATCCTGAGGTCAGTGGTTGGATTTCTTATCCTGAATTATGAGGCTTGCTATAGATTCTCCATGTGTTCTGCTATGTTTCTATTAAACGAATTCCATATAATTTTAGGACAAGTGTGACTTGGAGTACAAATGCTAATGATATGAATATGTGAAAGTTTTAGGTCATTTTTCACCTGTATATATGTCTGCCATGATATGAATATGTGGGCATCTCACTGCAAACGATGAAGGAGAAAAAGCAGCATAATTATCCAATAGTTTTGTTTTTTTTGTCGAAACATTAAAACCTTCATTTTTAGCGCTAGTTGGTGAAATATATTCATAATTCTTAGGATGATTTCCCTGGATCACTCTAAGCAAGTTTAAGGCAACAGGAAAAACATCTCATTGCAGCTCAAACATGAATACTAGAAACCTAGAAAAATTCTAATATATATTATGGGATAACATATTCCTAAATCCTAGATTTAAATGCCGCTTCTGGTAATTCCTGTCTATTATATTGATGGCCAGCTCCAGACCACCTGATTATCAAGCTGCAAACTTCAAATCCCAGACAGTAGTCGCTGTTAGAGATGATATGTTTATCAATGAAACTCCTAATAACTTTGTGAATCAAGTGGTCCATGACATGGCATTGAAGCCTCCTCTATGACCATTTATTCACTAGTTTGATCACCGCCAACCCCCATTCTTTTGAACCAAGTGAAATATGAAGGGCATATTCTATGTCCATGATTCCCTTCCTCATTTTGGTCATTGCTAAAGATGTAGACCATATGCATTTAAATTTTAACATCTTTCCCTGCGTTACAAAATTTTCAAATTGATGCCTCCTACACACGAATCATTTATTTAGAGACAATTCGTATATCCCTTGCTAAGAATGTGAATGAAATCTTATCTTTTCAGCAGGTGATGACACCAAGCTTTTTGCACATGCTGTGAAGGGGTTCACTGAGTTCTCTCCACATGATGTCTTCCCTGCACCAAAGAGAAAAACCATTCAATTAGTGCTGAAAACGGCCTTCAATGAATCAGCAATGCTTATAGTCCAGTCTTCTCTTTTTTCAAATATTATTTCTGTAGAACCAGAAGAAGGTTTCTTCCCTGATGCTATACATGCCAAAGCTGGAGGCTTTGCAGAAACTGATCTGCTTGTTCAAGTTAAGAGCGAGTCATCACGGAAGATAATTTGCAGCACCATTGCTAATTCAGGTGTGCTATTTGCACACTCTGTTCATGTGAAGCCCAGTCTATTTGAATTGAAGAGGCCTGAAGTTGGGAAAGTACATGGAGTGTTAGGGACAGGAAACTCCCTGGTAAACTGGCATTTGCTCAGTCAATGATTTTTACTCAAGATCCCTCTTGGTTGATAGTAGCTGGACATGATCGAAGGATATATCGTAGCTGGCACAAGTCTTTTCCCTTTAAATTGTTTTGTGAACCTCCAATTGTAACTTTCTGTAAAATGTGTCCTCTTTACATTTCTTTGATCGGCGATTTCTTATTTATGCTTGCTCCATAGTCCATCTCTTGACTGAGTAGTGCGGTTGTTTGCATGATGTGATGATTACACTTTTTGTGAACCTCTTTCAACTGTAGTGTTTTGTGCTCTGTGCTGCACGAGTCAGATGTTCCAAAGCTATATTAATTTTTGTTATCCTATTTATCATTTGTTGATTGCCATTCTGTATTCTTCTCGGATATTTGAAGCCAAATTCGTATATATGTTTGTACTATAAACTTCTAATTTCATTTTCGAGTAATCATGCTGGCATGTGGTTATCAAAAGTGAAAGGACAATCTGAGCCATTATCTCTGTATGTGTGGGGTTGTTCATAGATTAGGAGCAAGACGAGAAGTTACCTCCTACACGAGCCTCCCAGGATAAGAATGTTTACCAGTTCTGATGGGCAGTGGCTGGCAACTGTGGATTGCTTTGGAGATTTATATGTACTGTAATCTTGAAATACTAAAGTTAATTACTTTGCCCTTTAAATATCATCTTTAATGATTTTGCCTTTTGAATCTTTTCTCAATAGGCCGGTCCTTGTGGTCACACCATTCCAATTGGCTTGGTCGTCTCTTTCTCAGGAAAGAGACCAAAAGGAACGTATAGGATGCACATGCATGTTGGTCCATATCGTTTTCTAATTTTTTCTTTTTTTGTCCTTCTGGGATATGAAAATAATTGCACTTGGCTTTCCTGAGATTCATATACTGCTTTGTTAATTTAAAATGTTAATTCTTTTCTACATGCAACACTGATTAATTAATGTACTTATAGTTACAACTTCCTAAAATCGAGTGCATGCATTAGATGTAGAGGCCAAGCAATTGAGGGAATGGTCATCAAGGCATAGATTTGTTATGGCGAATATCTTTGCAATTCCCTGATATTCACTTTTGCTTGAAAAATGACTTAGCCTAAGTAAAGTTAAGAAAATTAAGAGTACTAGTTAGGGGTAAGAGTATAAAGATGGAAAGAAGTTTCAAGACATAAATTAGTTAAAATTATCTTATTGGCATGTATAAATTAGATAATTTTATATTAGGAGAGCAATGGTGATTTTCTACCCCAAACAAGGCTGAGACTACTCTTCACACAATGTGAACGATTGATTTATGTTTATTTTGGTTTATAAAAATGAGTCAGGTAAGAATGAGAATCTGAATAATTATACGAATGAAAATATAAATATTTTTTATCAAAAAAATAATTGCGTTTGATATGTTATAAAAATAAATTAAATATTTTTAATTGATTTAGTTTAATTGGGGGTAAAATAATGAAAATAAAGAAAAGAAAAATTTATGTTTTTAAACTCCATCCAATGGAACAGAGCATTTTGTTGTTGCTGTTTATTATGTTTCAGAGCTGTGGGTCTGTGACACTGACAATTCTTCCCTGTATTTTGAAGTAAGAAATTGATATTATCAAAAAATAAAGAGAATCACAATGGCACAACACACACACACACATATTTATAGACCCGCACAAATTTTACATGGTTTTCCAGATAGTCGATCATAGATACTAATTAAACTTTATATAACCCTTAAGAATGTGAAAATTAAAATGGTGGAATTATCTCATGATCTCACCTTATATTTCTATTTTTGATACGAGATCTCACCTTATATTTCACTTACACTTTATTTATCTGCCAAATTCTAAACTTAGATAATAAAATACAGTGAGAACCAATTTGAGAAGATGGTGAATTTTCAATATCTAATTAAATAAAAAAAATCATCACTTCTTTGTTACTCAACAATTAAATAACTAAATAACAAATTTTTAAAGTAATAAAAATTAATTTTTTTCAGAAAACAATTAATTGCCATAGATATTTGCAAAATACCTCCGGAACTTTCCAATGCATGATTAATATGTTCTGAAAGTCGGGGGACTCGCACAGGGGTAAGCCCAGAAGCATCCTTGTAATTCCTTGCCAACCGTGTTTCAAAGAATTTAGAAAAATTTTCTTCATTTTTTGTCCAGTCCATCCATTAACAATCTACATTTGCAGACCCTTGAGTTTAACAGTTATTCTTCTGATCTAAGACTCATTTTATAATATAAATTTTGTACTACAAAATAAATATTAATGGGGAAGAATAGTGTGGACCGGTCATATCATTTACCTCCTTATTTATTACTCTTTCCCGTCATGTATTTGCTGACTGCAAGTACAATACAATTTCTTCACTTTTTGCTGGATTCTTTTTTCATCTTATTTGATTAATTCTTGTTCCGGCTGTATTTTCCACCTCCTCTTTTAATTTTCTCTCTTTCTTTTCCAGCTTAAACTCATCTTTTTCTGTTCCTTAGACTATGCCAAGATTTTCCTGACAATATATATGGGATGCAACATAATTTCATTGAATTCTTCCATATATCTTCACCAAGCTTGCAAGTCAAATAACTATCTTAAATGCACACTTTTGGTTGTTAATATTATACAGTACATGGAAGTTGGCGATTTCTATATCAGGAAAAACTCTGCTAAATTTATTAAGAGCAACTGAGATTATGCAAATAGAGAACATATTAATTAAACCCTAAACGGACAAATCAGTTTTTCCAAGCATGAACACTAAGTAAAAGCTGTGAACATAGACCTTTGTCTTAAAGTCCAACGTCAATTAGCAAA